TGAGTATTCCTGCCGAAAATCAATCAAGCAGAGGAAGAAAGAAAGAAATACTAGATGAAGCTACAAGGAAACGAAAGCAGAATCCTTCAAAGTGGATAAAAAATGTAAGAAAATCGTTGAAAACTCAAGGTAGAGCTTACACGTCAGTCTGTGGAAACAAAGCAATACCTGCTAAGCAGCTGAAGGCAGCCTGCATATGCAATAAAAAGTGTAGTGAAAAATTTACCCAGGAGGAACGACAAAGACTTTACACTAGATTTTATCAGTTGTGTAGCTCTGGACAAAACCAGTTAATAGCAAATTTCATAGAAGAAGAGGAAAAACAAGCTCCAACGATTAAGACGTAATGATGGTAATCAAAGTAGGTGAAAGTTTACTAGAAAATATTTTTTATCACAAAACAGTGGTACGAAAATTGAAGTGTGTCAAAACATGTTTTAAATACATTTGACATAATTTGGAAGAAAGCGCGAGTAATTGTTGAGAATAAACAGTCTATCGGAGGTTTATCTCCGGAAGATGGACGTGGAAAACATGGAAAGCAATCTAAGGTTCCAGAAAATGATAAACTATGAAAATATAAGAGAACACATAAACCAATTCCCGGCTTACCAAAATCACTACTCGCGCTCCCATACCCACAAGAAGTACTTGTCATCCGACCTATCTATTGCTGAAATGTACTAACTTAATGTCAATTATTGTAAATAAAGAAATATTCAACCGCAAAATGCCTGGATGTATAGAAAAGTATTTGTTGAGGAATTCAACCTCTCTTTTCATAAGCCTAAAAATGATACGTATGCAAAATGCGACAAGTTTGAGATGCAGTTAAAATGTTGTAACAGTGAGACAATACGAACGTCAATCGAAGAAGAAAAAACAGTCCATTTACAGTTAGCTAAGTCCGCTTACGAGTCAAAACGAAGAGATAAAGAAGAATGCAATAATCCAGGTTACGTTACCATTTCCTTCGATTTACATAAATGCTAGCCTACTCCCTACCTCAGAAGTGGTTCGAGTTTTTATAAATGCCAATTGTGGACGTTTAACCTCACTATCTATCAAACCATGGCATGTTGGATATGTTTTTTTTTTTTATAAAAAGTCAACTATTATCTCTCTTGTCGTTTCGCAATTGCTAAGAATCGTGATTTCTTTAAATATTCCTAACAATTTTTCTCCATTGGTCTCTATTTTCAGCTGCTTTGAGAGCCTTGCTGAAAGAGTTTCCAGCTATATTCTTAATTTGGTCGGACCATCTAGTTGGTGATCGTCCTCTTGACAGACATATTGTAGTCAGCCTTTTTTTAATCTTAAGTTGGTTTAGAATAAAAAACGTTTGTCCTATGAGCTGTCCAAGGTATGCGCAGCATTTTTTTTTTTTTTTTCAGCAACAAATCTCAAAGGCATCCATTTTTTGGCGCTTGCATCCGCGAAGATCCGCTTGCATCCCAAGTCTCTGGCCTGTATAGAAATATTAAGAAAACAAGGGCATTCACCGGTCTCATCTTCATACTTTAAGAGATAGTCTTTAAGATATGTCTTTCCAATCTTTAGTTTTATATTATACGACACCTTAAAAGTGGTTATACTTATAATAAAAAAGAGGACATTACAAAAGATATTCTTAGCCCAAAACAACGTTTATTAATTTTATTAACTCAGATTTATCACATTTAACTAGTAAACATAATTTTATATTTTACTGAGCACATAATGCAAAATTCATGAAATTCCACAATAAGTATAAAAATTGACTTTAATAACAACACAGATTATGCTGTATTTAAAGACGGTTAGTGGTTTGTCGATTATCTGAAGAGCAAGACAAAAAATATTGTGCAATATATTGACAAAAATTTTGACGTTCTTGAGATCGCTTCAAACTAAGCAACATATTTATCTAATACATATTTCATTTAAATACTCACATGCGCCACGAACAGTCTTACATTTAACAAATGACGAGTACGTATTTTGGTTTATTCTTAGAATAACTAGCCTTACCTAGGTGATAAGAAGATGCCCTCTTTTGTCATATCATTGCTTGCTAGTTCTCTAGCACTACATATAAAAATTTAGGTTATTACATGCATTTTATTTGGGCACATACACAATTATATAAATTTTTATATTTTAATCTAAATTTAAATGAAAAGTAAAAACGAAATAGATATGTTCATAGACATCTAGACAGGAGGAATATATAAATACATTTTTACGTCAAAATAGACATACTTAGTACCAGAGTTGAAATCGAGCCATTAAGGAGTTCCAGATTAGTCCCATAATGCCAGGATTACCGACACACGTGGAAATGTAAAAAGATGTGCCGAGATGTGCAAATGTATTGGTAAACACCTTACAAAAGATTGACAAAAGCCACCGGACCATAAACAAAAATGTGTTCATTGTGGAGAAAACCGTCCGGAAACCTACCGCATATATTATGTAGCTAAAAAATTACAAAAAATGACAAACCAGAAAATAAACAAAGACAATGTTATAAAAGCGCCCCATAGGGTTATTAAAAGCAAAAAACTAAAAACGGTCAGTAAAAAAAGAAGTTAAAGAGATGTAACAAAGAATACAAGGAGAGATGCACCATCGCAACAACAAGAGAACCTGATATTACAATAAAAATAATATTGGAAAAGCTCACCAAAATTTACGACAAAATTACGACTATTTTCACCAAAGAAAAAAAACTGTTTTCAGCTGTTAAAGAACAAAAGTGAGAAGTAATATCTACTGGTAGACCAACATACGCCACAAGTTTCAAAGAACTACAGACCATGATGACGCAACTATTTCAAGCTTTGGAAGAAGAAGACCTTAAGATGGACTTGGAAAAACACAAAAAAAACCGAACATTAGAGAAATAACGTTGAAAAACATAAATTTAGAAACAGTAAGCGAATACATTTACCTGGGACAGATAATGAAAGTTAACAAAGCAAATCAAACTGCCGAAATTACCAGAAGAATAAGATTAGCGTGGGCAGGATTTGAAAAGCTGAGTTGGGTCTTGAAAAGCACTAAAATAGAACAATATTTGAAAACCAGAATTTACGATCAGTGTATCCTTCCTATACTCACGTATGGCGTACAGACGTAAACACTCATCAAGTCTAACATAGATCAAATCGTAAAAGCAGAAAGAGCGATGGAAAGATTAATGCTCAGGGTGAGACTTATAAACAAAGAAACAAACAAATGGATTAAAAGCAACGGAAAGTAGAAGACGCAGGAGAACAGGCTGCCAAATTAAAATGGAGCTTCGTAGAAACCAATGCCCGACTGAAAGATAAGAGATGGAACCACGAAATACACCAATAGAGACCATGGTTAAGAAAGAGAAGCAATTGAAGACCGCAAATAAGATAGGCGGATGGTATTAAGATGATCGGAGGACACAACTGAAAGCAAGTGACACAAAATAGAAGACACTGGATTGATTTGGGGGAGGCTTATGTCCAAAGTTGGAATACCAACTAAAGAGCTGAAGTTGAACAGGCAGTTAGAGTGTTCGAAACCAGTCATGCTAGGTTCAAATAAATAAGATTGTAAGTTTAATATGTGCTCATGAGTTCATGTGCTGATATGTTTTGGCTAAGTTAGACTATCTTTTATCTGTTTTTCTAAGTTAGTGGTATTCCCCAAAAATCGAGGGGAGTTAAATCTTGTGAGTGGGGGAACCGAGCGAATCAGACATATAAAAAAATTATCTAAACAGTCGCTCGCGGCCTATGCATTATGTGAAGAACATCCGTTGTGTTGAAATTTCGTTTAAGTTGATATGAAAACTTTAAAGTACAGAAATAATTTGATTTCGTAGTAATTTAAGATATTTTACCGCATTTAGATTTCCTTTAAAGGAAAAAAGACTTATTCTCTCTCTCCCAAGACTCTCCCAATATTCAAATCCAAACATTCATCTACACAAAAATATACTCAAATACTTTTCTGAGACCAAGAGCGTATAGCGGATGGATTACGTTTCCTGTGAATTGTGGAAAATATTTAAAAAAAAATAAATTCATTTTATTTCTCCATTATAAGTTCTCAGAATTCCATCCGAATAATTATTAGGAAATATTTCTTGAGTTGTCTGCACTTTATAACAATGGTTTTTGTTTTGTTTTCAATTTCCTCACTGTTTTTTCATTTGAGTCAATTTTATTGGCAATTTGTTGACTTGAATACAGCGTGTAATTACACAGAATACAAAGAATCAGATTTATCGCCCGGTATACTGCTTCACTATGGGCGTGTATGCACAATGTGAAGGAAAGGCTAGGAAGAAATATGATTACGATCTTTGTATACTAACTGAAAATATAATTTTAGTATATCTGTTAATTACCTTGCTAATTTTGTAATATTAACTACAAATTTTTTCCGGGCCTGTATAGCCACCCAAACGATATAATAGTGTCGTCGAAGGATCAAAATTTTTACTTTATTCGACCCAGCAAATCGGTTGCCTACCTAAGCAGCCATGACAATGTTACCAATTATAACAGCATGGCTTGTGAAAGAGGTATGGCGTTATCTTGACATTTTTTCAAAAAAATTATACAAGAACTTTGAAATAAAGTATTACTTGATATTAATATCATCCCATTTGAAAGAATTATACTTCTTTCCTGCCATTTTAAATACCTATGTTACCAAGAATCATCATAAAAATATTAATATTAAGTAACATTATCATATTGTTATACAAAATTTGGTTTTTTCGCTTCAGAAAGTAGTTTATTGGGTCTGACATCAGAGGCGCAATATATGAAGAATATTGTATAATAATTACGAAATTCCGGATTTTAGTATATGCTCATATTATATTGTGCTTATTAGATATTATGCATATCTACATTACCTTTATGGTGCAACTTATACTATAAGATAACTGAATGCCACCAAAAAGATTTATTTGGAAGTTACTTTCTTTTTAAATATTTTAGAATATAAAATATTTCTTATTTGTACATTACCTTCTTTCTTCTTCGGTTTCGCTTGACATGTAAGTAATATAAGCAGCCATTAGCAAACAGTTATTTGGTAATTTATCAATTTCTTGAGAAAGCTCCTTCAACTGTAAATTGTGTTAATATTTTTTTATGTATAAATATTTTCGATATATTTTTTATTATCATAAAAAGATATTTATTTTTATGATAATAAGAAATATATTGAAAATATCCTTACCTGAGTTTGCCACCTATGATATTCGTCTCCCAGTTTACCAACAAGTCCTTCTGCTGCAGATAGTGTACTTTGAGCTTTGGTTAAATCGATTTCAATTTCAGCTGCTTCTTTGGTGTATACTGATAATTGTTCCTTTAGCTTGGTAACAGTTGCGTCTACGTCCAACAAACCTGCACTGAGTTCTCCAAGTTGGTGTTGTGAATTTGATAAATTTCTACAACAGTTTTACGTCAACTACTTTGTTTAAAGTAACAAAAAGAATCAGATACAAAATAGAAACTATACTCACTGTTATTAAACAAAAATGTAATTGTCCATCACATTACATTTCGAACATTTGTACTAATGGTAGTGGTATTCTCTGGAGGTTGATCACTGATTTTTTCTGTGCGGTGTTGATCACAAGTGTTTTCCGAATATTGTTATAAAAAGTGTTCAAAATGCCAAAAAGATTATCAGAGAAGGATAGTGTATCCTGGAAGAGGCGTAAATATGAAAAGTTACACAAATTGGAAAAGTTAAGGGAGGATTTGGAAGAAAGTGACCAAGGTATTTATATGTTATGTTATACATTCTACACACCTTGTGGAAAAAATATATTATATTGGTTGTCTTGTCTTAATTAGGGTGCCTTTAGGTAGCCCAAAATAAGGCAGAATAAAAATTAATGCCTTAACAAAAATTAGAGCAGCGGGTAGTTTTTAGTAGCCCAGTAAATCTTTATGATTATTTGACCTGCTTCCGTTTCTCATACTTTTCTCAGGTACTTTAGAGTAGCCCAAAAATTTGGAAAAAAAATATAGATTTTATTTAATTACTTTTGTATAGTTTACCTGGTTTTTACTTTACAACCATAACAAGTTTACATACTTTTTTACCTTCAATACTAAATTTTTTGTTTGGTATTGTCAAAAATATTAAAGTCGTTTTTATTCATTGAATGTTAGATAAGGTGAGGCAAACTGAAGTTCAAAATAATATTATAGAAACCATTGTGGAGGTGCATAGCCCTCCAGCCTCGCTAAATAATACAGAAAATGATATGCCATGCAATTTAAGCATAATCGAAGATTTGGGGGCAAGTGGAGAGCTTCAACAGGCAGTACGTATTGAGGACCCGCAACAGCAGGCAGAAGATTTTTTCATTGGAGAGATATCTACCCAAAAAGATAATATTTCTCTGGATATGATTAACTTAATTGGGGAGGACCCATCAAAAACTAACGTTAATGCTTGTGAAATGTTACCAGATATAGCAACGAGGCTAAATCATTCTCTCTCCAAAGGCTTAGACAAAAGCATTGTGGGTAAGCTTACAGAAAAATTCCCACCTGCTACAAACTGCGAGAGACTTTGCCCACCTAAGTTAAATCCTGAGATCTTATCTGCAATAAAAGATAAAAGTAAAATTAGGGAAGATAAGTACATGCAATCTATGAAAACAATTTTAGCGGCAAGTATTATGGTTTTTTATAAAGAGGTCGGATTGAGATTAAATGAAAATAGGAGTATCGAAATAAGTGCCAACTCCATAAACCTTAATATAGACATGTTTTATAAGATGTCCTTGCACAGAAGGTTTTTTTGCTCAGTTTTTCATTAAATTCAAAATTTACGAAATTATTAGATGAGCAACATATAGATAAATTTTTTATATGGAGAGAATTTGGTTGAAAGGTTGTAAGAGAACAAGGACACAAAATCAGCAGCTTTTCAGGTCAGCTCTATTATGAAGCCACAAATATCAAATTTTTACCCTAGGACTGCTTCTCAGCGCCAAGCTGCTATTTTAGTTCAACAGCCAACAAGAGTTGTTGCAGAATCTAGCAACTTCAATCAGCAGCGTTTTAAACTACAATCCAGCCTCGAACAGACCGAGATTTCGACAAAGCCAGTACCCAAATCGCCCGCAACCAACATCAATATACAAGCAGTTGAACAGGCAGCAGTACCAGGACCAGAGCATAATAACCAAGAGGTCATATTAAAGGTAAATAAGAAATTAGCAGGTAATGTGGCTAACTATATTAAAAACTGGAAAAAGTTTACTGCTGACAACAAAGTTTTAAGTTGGGTCCAAGGTTTTAGTATTTTATTTAAAACAACGCCCTCTCAAGAGAGAGCACCAAAGTTTTGATAGACCCAAGTGAGTCATATGACTTTGCTATAAAACAATTACTTGAGAAAGGAGCTATTTCTCCCTCTGCTTATACACAAGGGGAATTTTTTTTCTTCATATTTTCTAGTGCCCAAAACGGATGGGAGTCACAGATTTGTTTTGAATTTAAAACAATTAAACTGCTTTATAGAAGCCCCACATTTTAAGCTGGAAAACTATAGGTCAGTTCTTAAGGTCATTTTCAAGGGTTGTTTTATGGCAAAGGTAGATTTAAAAGATGCCTATTTTTCTATACCTGTTCATAAAAATTCTAAAAAATATTTAAAATTTGAGTACAAAAATATTTTGTATCATTTTAACTGCTTACCATTTGGTTTGAATATATCGCCTTTTATATTTACAAAGACTTTGAAACCACCTCTAAATAATCTAAGAACAAGAGGTTTTACTTCTGTCATTTTTTTAGATGATACTTTAATAATATCAAAATCATATTTAGAATGTAAAGAAAATATTGCTGAAACATGTTCTATGTTTTCCCGCTTAGGTTTGATTATACATAAAGAAAAAAGCATACTTTTACCCATACAAAGTATAACTTTTCTTGGTTTTACGTTTGATTCCAGAGAAATGATATACTTTGTACCTGCTGACAAAACAGAAAAAAATATTAATAGAATTCACACAATTAAAAATAAAAGTACATGTAGGATAAGATCATTTGCAGCTTTAATCGGTCAGTTGGTAGCGATTTGTCCTTCAGTTAAATATGGTAAATTATACTTAAAAAATTTAGAAAGAGAACAGTGGCTTGCTCTTTCTAAAACTAATAGTTATAACACTAAAATGACCATACCAAATACTTGGAAAACGATTTCAATTGGTTGTTAAATAACATACCAATTAGTAAGCAAAATACATATAAAAGAATCAAATTATGTACTTGAAATATTTCGTGAGTCATCTCTTTTAGCTTGAGGGGCATGCTATAATGATAACAAAACTCATGGTTTTTGGAGTTATGAACAACAGACACTACTTATAAATCCAATTGAGTTACTGGCAGCATATAATGGCTTGAAATCCTTTTCAAAGGGATATAGGAATTATAACATTTTGCTAAGAATAGATAATACAACAGCGGGTGTCTTGTATTAACAAGATGGGGAGTGTGCAGTACTCTAATCTAAATAGCATTTCTCGAGAAATTTGGCAATATTGTGAAAACAGAAATTTAAGAATATTTGCATCTTATATCAGTACAAAAGAAAATATTATTGCTGATTCAGAGTCAAGATCTTTAAAAATAGAAACAGAGTATTCTTTAAGTGATAATTGTGTTAATATAATTTTTGAGCAGCTTTATATTCCACATATAGATTTGTTTGCCACATATCTTAACAAAAATCGTGCAAGGTATGTGTCTTGGAAACCTGACCCAAGATCAGAAAAGGTTGATGCATTCACTCAAAATTGGCAGGGATTAAAATTTTATGCTTTTCCACCTTTTGCTATTATTCCACGAGTTTTGGAAAAAATAATATGTGACAAAGCCATAGGGATTGTGGTAGTACCAGAATGGCCAAATCAGCCTTGGTACCCAACCTTTAATAAGCTGGTATCAGGCAAAAAGATAATTTTAGGACCTGATAAAAATTTAATCTTGAACCCTTTTAGGCTTCCATATTCGGGACACCAACATCTTACCCTGGCTGACGCATAATTATCAGGCAAGCATTTTTAAGGAAAGGCATTCCTGAGGATTCCATCCCAATTGTGACTGAATCTATTACAACAAAAATACTAAATTTGTATAATACTGTTTTCAAGAGATGGTGAAGGTATAGTATAGAAAAAAATATATACCCTTTTGCTTATGAATTATCAAATATTATTAATTTTATTAAATTAATAGTAGATCAGGATTACACTCATATTTCTATAAACATTCACAGAGCTGCATTGGCGTTGATAATAGATATTCCAGAAAATCATTAAAACTTTTTTTTTAATTTTAGAAAGGTATTCAAACCTTCATTACCCAAATATCAATTTACTTGGGACCCTCAACCAGTATTACTTTATTTAGAAACATTATTTCCTCTCACAGGCCTTTCCATGAAAGAACTTACTCACAAACTTTTAATGTTAATTGCTCTTACTTCAGCACACAGGTTGCAAACCATATCCCTAATAAAAATTCAAAATTTTCTCATTGATCAAGATAAGATTGAGATTCTGATACCAGATAGGATAAAAACTTCGTCAAGAAATAAAAATCAACCTGTTTTGAGATTTCCATATTTTAAGGAAAAACCACAGTTGTGTGTAGCATCGACTTTATGCCAGTATTTAGAGATTTTTAAAAACATTCTTCCTCAATTGGAAGACAAGATGTTTATAACTATAAAAAAAACCATTATAAAGCAGCATCTACACAGATATTGAGTAGATGGCTAAAAGATATTTTAAAATTATGTAATATAGACACCAATATTTTTAAAGGGTATAGTGTTCGGCATGCATCTACCTCAGTATGGGCTAGGGCTGGATTGAATATAGAAACTATTGGGGAGACAGCAGGATGGACAGAAAATTCTCAAGTATTCAATGGTTTTTATAATAAACCTTTAGCAAAAGATTACGAGCTCTTTTCAAAAACTATATTATCAGGTTAGTCCATGTAATTGTATATACATTTTGGTTTTGTTTAATTCTGTTATGAATTTTGTAATTATATGTGTAGGTTATGGTTATGACATAACAATAATTTTCCTATTATGATTTTTTCGTACCTGGTTAATGGTACACATATTATGTACTTTTAATATAAACATTACCCTTAATTGTTGTAATATGTTATTCACTTTTGTAGTTCCTAATGGAAAAAAATAATAAAATGTGTGAATTATTAATTTTTGGGGGATGGCAATATAATTTTGTTTATTTATATCGCACAATATTGTCTAATCTTTCAACAGCCTACCATTAGTACAAATGTTCGAAATGTAATGTGATGGACAATTAATTGATTGGTTGACTTACCTGTTAAGGAAGGACAATCATAATTGTCCTATCTTACATTTCGAACATTTGTACGCTCCCCTCCATTGATTGTTTAGAACCCACCCATTTATTGTGCGATCAAAATAAAAAAACACAGTGATTCGCGCCTAGTCACCTATCAAGAAGATGTATATCTTCTTTTTTCTTCTTCTTCTTTAAACTGTGGTAAACCTCCAGAAAATACCACTACCATTAGTACAGATGTTCGAAATGTAAGATAGGACAATTATGATTGTCCTTCCTTAACAGGTAAGTCAACCAATCAATTAATTAAAGTTTAAAACAACATATACCATAAATAAATAAATAAAACAAAATTATATGAGGAAAATAAAACTTAATTTTTACTTAAATGTTTGCAAGATAAAAATACTTACTCTTTTAATTTCATTTGTTCCTTCTCAAGAGGTTTAATTTTATCCAAAACGTAAGAGTATTTAACATTAGCAGCTACCCATGCTGCTAGAGGAGCAGCGGCTTGAGACGCCCGTTTGGCAGATTTTGGGTCAAAAGAATCACTTTTTGTAGACATTAATTTTTCTACGGCCTGTCTGTTTTCTTTACTTATTCTGTTAGCGTTAAAAGCCCTATAAAAAGAAAAGTAAACGAAAGTTAATATATTCAAACGAAAATTCGATCCATAATATATTTCCCAATTACTGTGAGTTTTAAAACTTAGGACTTGATATAACATGACATATTAATTTAGAGAAACCCTAATACAATGTACAAGTACAATAATAATTGTACTTCTTTCAGATTTTATTAGATCGCCTTAGTAGGAAGTCCTAAAAGTGAAATCAAATTTTTTGCATCAAAGGAAGTATTAATGAAATGACTTCCCAAACAAGAATATGACGACATCTAAGAATAATGCAAAAAGTAAAAGTTCGAAGATTTCTACTTGTTCGAAAAGAAAATTATGGACGAAATACATATAAGCAAATTGTGAAGTCACTATGCGTAAAATCCAATCTGAATTGTCTTTTCTATATCAATATTTACTCGTATTTTGAGTATAACAAGCCAGTTCATAAAAGGTCCTTACTTGGATGAATCGGTATAATGGGGAGTACACTTTTAGAATCCCCATACCGGTTTATTTATAGTCTGTTTGCTTTGTAAATCGTAGAAGGCACAAATTTAAGTAAAATCTAAATTTTGGTTTAGAACCAGTAGAAGTCTTTGGGTTTTTCTTTTTTGTTTATCCTTAGATGTCGCCGTATGTAATTTTTATATTAACCGTTTATCTGTTTTCCAACAACTTATTAATAAGTCACTCACCTGATATCCTCTTTTACACCCCTTTTTGATAAAAATGACTTCATACTGTTCCAAGAAGTATCCTGGGTTCCCATTAACCTTAGGACCCCTTCCAAAATATCCCTTATTATTTCTGGAGGAGCTCGCAGTGATCTTATTTCTGATAAAGACTCAGATTTAATATTTCCTACAGCTGATCTAGCTTCTTCCATTAAAGGTTCAACCTCAGCAAGTTCTGCTTCTATATCCTTTTTTCTAAACAAAAAAAAAGTATCTATCAGGTGTTAAAGTGCAAATAAAATAATTTTGGTTGTTTAGTTGGTTTTGATTAAATCACTAAATCTAAGAATTATTTTTTCATTCGTTAGTAGCTAAAATTTGTTTTGTAATTTTGGATTTCTAAATAAAAAATAAATAACTACATTATATTATCGTCGGCTTACAAGCGAAACACACTAAGTCAAAAAATATAGTTTTGAGATAATGGTGTTTTTAAATTTTTTTAAAAAACAGTTTGATCAATTTTCACATTTAAAACTTTTATTTGTTGTTTTGTAATAATACGAAAGTTTTCATAAAGTATTAATAATGATTACTGACGAGGAGAAGTAAATTATATATTACCAAATTATTAATTTTTGTTTAATTTTCGATTTGAATACGTTGACTTAATGTTTTTTACCTGTAGCATTTTAATTAGTGTGTTTTTCTTGTTTAATTTTGTTATGAAAGTATGACTTACGTGTATTTTTTTTTTATTTACTTACTGTCATACGATTATTGCAGGCTTCGTTTACATTGTGAATAATACAATAATTTTTGCTTATATAAGTTTTTACTTTTTTCATGTATATTTTCACAAAACAAGAACATTATTAAAAAAAAAACAGGTATAACAAAACAAAACGTGTATAACAAAAAAAAATATGCTTCTAATTTTTAAAGTCTTCTTCGTCAGAGTCCTTTTCAGCTGACTCCGCTGTTTGGTCTCGAACAGAAGAGGAACTTGGTAGATTTTTGAACCAGGTATGGAGCGCTTGCGGAACTATGTTATTTCACAGAGCTTTATCAAATCTTTTTTCTTTGCATCCGAAATTGGAAGCTGTTCAGAATATAATTGAGGAATAACCTAATTTTCACTATTATTATCCTCTTTGTTCTGTTAAAAGCACGACGTACAAAACTAACGTTAATATTTTATTATTCGTCGTGAAAATTATACTTGTACTGTAGAATGTTAGGAAACTGTTTCTCATACTTAAAACACTTTACCTTTAAGCAGTTGACTCTTTTTGATCTTTGCTCTTTTTAATCCTCTGTCTTATTAACAATAGTATATTGTGCAAGTTTTTTTAAATCTAAGAATTCGTTATAATTAACTTCACGAGTATTATAGGAAGATTTTTTATTCCCATTGTTGCCCATTCTGGTCATTTTAAAGACATTTTCATATTCGTGAACACTAAAAATCTCCACATTTTTTTTGGCACTTTCAATAGCGCTATGCATGGAATCTACTTCCATATAGGAGTGTCCAGTTTCCATTAACTTTTGTTCAATTATCCGAAGATTCAGATGGTTTTTTAACAATATGTAAAAGCAGAGCAGATACTTGAATATTTTTGTTCTGTCCTCCACACGTATCTGAAAAAATCGTTAGATGTTCTATATCGGATAATGAATTAATGTACATTCCTAGGCAAGTACCAATTTCACAGCTTCCACGCTTACCATTGGCTTCGGTCCAAAAATAACAGAATGCCTCATTTGGTGGAGCAGATTCCTAAATTGTAAAATTATAGAGGTTCAGCTTTCTAAGTTAATACAAGAGACTTACTTGCGATGATGGAATTTGTAAAACGCTTTGCATATCACATGTAATTGATTTAAATTTTTTATTCTTTTTCGATACTTCTTTGTCTGAATTTTTTTCTTTCATTGCAGCCTTTTTTCTGTCTAAATGACTCCTATAATTAAGCTTAATCGCTTCTTTTTCTTATTGCGATGCTTTTGTGTATTCCTTACAGGTTAAACATTGGTCTTTCTTAGGTTTGAAAAATGATATATTAAATTCCTTGCAAAAGATTCGCCTTTAAGTTATTTGACTTAAGCTTGGCAAATTGTCCTCTTTACACTTTTTAACGAACAGGTCGTGCATTTTTTTAATATTAAGATTGCAATCTAAATAAAGTCTTTTCGAAGACTTTCTAGTGTAGTGACTTTCTACAACAGGAAAGCTTTCAATGTGTTTTTTTGCTCTTATTCTTGCTTCCACTGAAGTTTTATTGCCAGGAATCCTACGGCCCCTTCTGTCTATTCCAATATATTCGCCGCTTTCATTTTGCTCTTTAAAGGCATTAATTATAGGCCTATTAGAAAAGACAATGTTTTACCAAAAATTTCTGACACACTTGACTTTTCTTTCCCTTATTTGTGAAAAAATAGGATTTTGCGTTGGATCGCATTTTGCTATTTTCTCCTTTTCTAGGCCTGCGACTCTTTACTTCATTAGAAAGCACATTCAATAATATAAAATCTTTCTGTCTTTGATGACAACAAAAATCGCATAAGTTTGACATAGCAACTTCCGGTTCTCTTCAGAAAAGTTGATGGTCTTGGGATGTTGACCAACACAGATGGTCTTAGGGTGTTCCATCGGCTTCTTTTAGGTCCTAGTTGAACATTTTCATTTGAATTTGTTTTTTCCTCGTCTGCTGTAGAGTTTCCTTCGCTGGTATCTAAATTATCACTTTCATTACCTGAAGGAATATAGTCGCTATCCTCCATACATTCGTCAGAATCCTGGTCACTTATTTGAGGAGGACCTGACTGAATATCTTGTACAAAAATTATCAGAATTTAGGCTCACGTCTTTGTTTATCGCTGTAGGTAGTTCGACAGAAAATTTTATTTTTCTTCTTCTTCTTCTTCTTCTACTTTTTGTAGATCTTTCGATCTGTTTAATTCTGAAGCTGCCTCTGGTTAATTTCTTGGGAGGTAGATTGCCAACTATCCCTCCATCTTTTAGGTGGTCTTCCGGGGGGTCTTGAACCAGGCGGATTGTTTTCTAGGGCAATTTTTGGGAGTCTATTCTCATCCATTCGTCTTACATGGTTGTACCACATCCTCTTGCGCTGTCTTCCCCATCTTACAATATCTTGAATTTTGCACTGCTCTCTAATGTTTGTATTTCTCACTCTGTCCCTTCTTGTTTTCCCCATTATTGTTCTTAGGGTTTTCATTTCGGCAACCCTAAGCATCTGTTTCGTTTTGTTGGTATCTTTGCGCACTTCTATGCCATATGTCATGATCGGTCGTATGCAAGTCTTATAGATTCTAATTTTACTATCTGTGCGCATATACGGATTAGACCAGACTATCTCCCGCAGACATCCTGACAGTGCAGATGCTTTGTTGATCTGACTCCTCAGGTCCTTTACTGGGTCATGGGTGCTTGATATATCTATGCCCAGATATCTGAATTGCATCACCTGTTCTATGGGGTTGTCCTCAACCACTAACTTACATCTGAGCGGATCTTTTGCTATTGTCATACATTTAGTTTTGTTGGTAGAGATGTTCATATTTAATAGTCGGCTTGTTTGAAAGAACTGAAAGAGCTGCCTTTGGAGATCATCTTCTAATTCGGCAATAATTGCTGCATCGTTTGCGTAGCACACCATACCAATTCTTTTGTTGCCCATTCTATATCCGAGATTAAGAGATGTTACTTTGTTGATAATTTTGCCCATGAGAAGATTAAACAAGAAGGGGCTTAAACTGTCGCCTTGTCTAATTCCTCCCGGTGTTGGAATATTTTCAGTGAATTCGTCTCCTGCTCTAACTTTGGTTATTTTGGTTATTTTTCTTACAGAAATTAATTAATAAATACACACAAAATTCAAAACTGTTAACGACCTAATCACGCAAAGCACTGGAATAAAATTGACAAAACCTATGCAATATACCCAATCAAATAATTAATTTTTTACAAGATTGGACAAGTTGTTCTGCGTAAGTCAGTCGGTAGGTTCATTCGTAGTCAAGTGAAATGCATTAAGTCACTTAGTGTGTTTTGCCTGAATCATATATAGTTTTTGAGACTTAGTGAGAAACATGATAATTATAAAAATATCCGTTTTTGTTATTGTATGACTTAGTGGGTTTAACCAGTCTAAAAAGTAAAAAAATACAATCAAATGCTGCAAATAACTCAAAAGTGAAAAAAATTGACTTAGTGTGTTTCGCTTGTAAGCCGACGTTATATTCTATAAAAGTTTTAAAGAATGAAATTTCTAAATTAATTAAAACAATAGAAAGTTGATACGAGAGAATATTTATCTTTGATATTTATTTTCGAGAATTTGATCTATTTATTATGTCTGCTTGACATTCAAATAAGGAGGTCCTCATTCTTACAAACACCAGCTTTACGAAGTTGTATAGAATCTGAAGGTTACAGAAAAAGACCAGTTTCAGTACGTCTCAAGTGCAAAAATCCCGGAAATGACCGTTATTTACGTCTGCGGACTTGGCATAAACGTCATATTACAGCTAGGTAACTATAAAATAATCTTTTTTTACAGTCCATAATGTTCAAATAAGTATCAATTTGGTTAGAAATAGATAAAGAGAATTTGAAATAAAAGCCAGCATGCCTGCTACTGCTCCACTGTTAACGAGGGTACACCGTATGGCACGTTTAAGGTTGGAATGGAAATATGTCACTTTCAATATTAACGACTGGCTAATATTCTTCTCACCGATTAGTTAAGATTTGCACTTTGTGGATCCGACAGATGTATTTCAGTTTACAGACGAACGGTAGGTGGCTCAATTATGATATGGGGAGGCATCTGCTTTGTAGGTAACATATAATTAACAGTGTTTGTAGACAAATATTGTAGATCATTTGGTTTCTACTTAAGACAACGCCCGCAAGTTGCTAGAATAACAATGCAATATCTTCAAGAGGTCGATATTTAAGTTCTTGATTGATCAGCAGTCAACCCAGACCTAAAACTAATTGAGCATGTTTGAGACTACCTAGAAATAAGCAAGAGAGCCCGTATCGTCACTCCAGATAAACTTGATAATGTGGAAAATGCTTTAACGGACGAATGGGAGAATTTGGATTAAGAGTGCATACTGTCTCTGAGGGAAAGTCTTCCATAGAGCATGAGGTGCCAGAGTCAGAGGTGCTAATACCAGATATTAAAATGTGCAACTTGTCCTTAAAATTCTTTATTTCATAAATTTATGTTTATCATTTTTTTTTAAATCGTTATATTCATTATTATTAGTCTGTTTTTGTCTTTGATTTTTGATGTTACTGAAATAAAACACTGTTAAATATTCCTACGTTCAATTCCATAGTGTTTCCAAAAAAAAAATAATCCAAACCATTTATGAAGACAGGTTTGCCATTAAATTCTGATGACTTTATTATTGGTAGACCAAATAAGCGAAGATATATATTAAATTATCTTTATTTATTACATTTTACTGCTTTACTGTGTCAATCAGCGCATCTCAATAAGTTTTCGAAATGTTACGAAATCGTACTTATACAGTGAATTTTTTATTAACAAAAACAGTTTAATATTTTTTATTTAATTTCTTGTGATATTCAATGAAGGTATACTACAGTATTGTGTGACTTAATGTAAACATAGATCTAAATTCAGTGTTCATAAGTTGGCATACCTGCTGTGCGTATTCTGTCAACTGTTTTGTCAAAAAAAAAACAACATTACCTCAAAATCTTATTAGAATATTGTTCAAAACACGTGCTTTGTGTTTTATATCATTATTTATTTTCATTGATTTAACTGTACAATCAGGTTTAACTTTTTAACATCGATATCACTCCTTCTTCTTCTGGTTCCTATCCATTTCGGATGTTGGAAATCATATTGGCAATCATAACCTTACTCGCTGCGGCTCGAAACAGCTCCGTTGAGGTTTCCTTAAACCATGTTCTTAAATATTACTCCTAGGAAAAGAGAAAGTATCACAACACTTAGTGAGTATACACCAATGACTCAGAGGGAGCTTGCAAAGGAGTGTTGTATAAGTTTGGATGCAGTAAACAAAATAATTAAACAAAAAAAGGAAACAGGGTCAGTTGAAGTAAAGCGGAAAGGAAAATGTAGAAGAAAACGGAAGACTAATCCTCGAGATGAAGCCTTTCTTTTGCGCGATGGCAAACTTTATCCCAGATAAACAAGTTCTGACCTCCAGAAAGATTTAGAAAAGGCTAGAATAATAATTCACGACTCAAAATTACGTAGACATCTCTTAGTAAGAGGGAAAATAGCCGCGAGAATGCAGAAGAAACAACTTTTCACAGCGTCTATGATGAAAAAAAAAAATAAATTGAGCAAAAAATATGCTATTGGGCAATATTATTGGAAAAAAGTCCTATTATTTGATAAGACCCACTTCCTAGTGCAGGGTTAGCGAACAAAATTCGTATGAAAGGCAGCCAATGAGTCACTTTCAGCTAGCCATATTAACCAAACAGTTAAACATCCTACCAAAAAAATGTTCTGGGTCTGTTTTTCATGCTGAGGAACTGGCACTCTCATTCATATTGAAGTTATGATGAACAGTGAAAAGTACAAAGCCATACTAGGGCAACACTTAGCTATAGAGCTTGACAAAGTACAGGCCGACGGGACTGCAAATTTTCGACAAGATTCAGCTCCGTGCCATGTATCGAAGATTATGATGAAATACTTTAAGGATAATAATATTACCCTTCTTAATTGGCCCGGGCTTTCACCTGACCTTAATCCTATTGAAAATTTGTGCGCAATATGTAAGGCTAAACTGCAAAAATTTGACTGTACGACAAAAACAAAAATGGTGCTAGCAGTGATAAAGGTGTAGTTTAGAGATGAAGCAATCACAAACAATTGCAAAAAAACTTGGTGAATTCCATGCCTAGAAAATTTCAGAAAGTCATAAAACTAAAAGGGGGACATATTAAATACTAATTTTATTAGTATTTATTTATTATTATTAATAAATTTAAGTGTACCTAAATTTACCTTTGGCCTAAATAAATCATATTTACAAATTAATTTTGTTTTTTCACATTAATTCACACAAAACTGTAAATAATCAAAGTTATGCCATTTTAAGAACATATTGGCGGCGATATCTGTGAATATTATATTACCATCAAATTTATACTTTGCCATCATAATATTACATTGTTGTTAATGGTTAAAAGTTAAATGACTTTGTATTATGTATAATCTTAGTGGGAATTACATAGTAGGTAAATGGTCAATCAGCATGTTATGTAAAACGTTATTTGAAACTATAACATATTATTATATTAAAATTATTATTTACTTTACACTAATATGCAAACGCAAACATCACCTGGAATATTAATAAATAAAACTAATTAAATTCTGTTTAAGTTTATTTAGTATTTATTTTTTTAGTTATCTTAATTAGTAATTAGTATTTAGTATAAAAATAGTATAATAAAAGATTTCAAATTAATGTCAAAAAGTGATTAGGACATTTAATAAAAAATAGTACCTTCGCTCCAATTGAACATTTTCCTCTTCAGTTTTGCCTTTTAAAACTTCCATTTCCTCTTTGTGAACATTGGCATTTTTCATGGTGTTGCTTATCATGTCTAGGGCTGAATTAGCTTTGGATTGTTTTTCGGCTAGTTTTTCTTGCTTTTCAATCGCATCTTGTTTTAATTCTTTCACCAAACTCTCAGCTTCAGTAAGTTTGGACACACCAGCCTAATCAATATAATAATAATTTTTAGTATTAAATAAATAGCTGACATTTAAAAAAATCCCTATACAAGTACGAGGCAAATCGCACTACATAATAATGTCCACCAATCAACTGTTGGTAGAGCACTAAAAAAGAAGAAGTGACATCCCTACAAAGTACATATGCTCCAGGAGCTGGTAGAAGATGACTAATAAAACAGTCGAATTCTGCGAAACTATTATGGAACTCCAGGAGCTGGTAGAAGATGACTTTAATAAAACAGTCAAATTCAGCGAAACTATTATGGAACGATGTAACAGAGATCAGAGTTTCATAGAAAATCTAATTCTGTTAGACAAGGCGGTTTTTATGCTGAACGGTTATGAAAAACGCCAGACATAGACAATACTAGGCAAGTGAAAATTAACGCTAGATGAAAGAATATATGGCAAAATATTCTAAGAAGATGGTTTTCTAATAGCTGAATCAGCTATTTCCAAAATAGAAATGTTTTATGTGTTCTACAGAATGGGGCTCCCCACACCACGGTGGGTGGTGTTTAGGTACGGAAATATTGCAATACCGTTACCCAAGACACGTAGATAAGAAAAAGGGGATTCATTCTAATGACCACCAAGGTTTCCAAATTTGACTCCACTGAACTCTTTTATGAGTATCCCAAAGAAGCAAATTAATTTTGAAAGCAATCCACTGCATTTGTACAAACTGATATAGAATTTAGAATTCAGAACTTAAGTTATTGTGTAAGAGGTCCGTTAACAACGGAGCTCTTACACAATTATTATTGATTAACTTTCAATTAAATTTAAATGTTATTCAAAAAGTTTAGGTGATTAAAAGAGAAAATTTAATAAGTACATTAATGACAATTTTACTTACCTTGAGTTTTTTTTGTTTAGATTTAATGCCGTCGATTTTCTCTGTGAATAGTTTTCCATACAATTTAATAAAGGAAATATATCTGGATGGCGTGTTGATTAAAGATTGGGTAGCATTGTAAAAAAATGAAAAACTTTGACTAGGAATATTAAGACATACTTCATCAATTGATATGTTCCTGAAAGAAATATAGCGAAATTAAAAAAGAAAAGAAAAACTGTATTACATTTTTCGTTTTTTAGTATTATATTATAAAATTATACTATTATATTATAATTTATAATAGAAGACTTAACGAAATTTCTTTACAAATTACGACTGACCACAAAATTATAAAATGTGGATTGAAAAATATATCAGCGGAAGAATTATACCAGCAACATAAAAAATGCATGTATGAGGCTGCAAGTGAAGCTTAGGGTATAAAGACAAACAAATATGAAACAAAAAATCAAGATGACGGTCGGAGAATATGCAAACATTAGTAAACAAGAAGAAAACTGCTTATCAGAAATGTATGTCAACGAGAAAGGAGGAAGATTACAAGATATATATAAAAAAAAATCGAGATATAAAAAGAGAAGACGTGAAAAGTAAATATAATATGTGGTATCGAAGATGAGCAGAGGTGGATAAGTATACGGGTAGAAGAAGAGTTGGACAAGCGTGGAAGGTGATGAATTCTCTCCGGGGGGAAGGAAAGGAAAAATCTAACTTACAGTTAATAGATCTAAAACAGTGGAAACACCACTGACAGAGGTATGAGGTCTTACTGACAGAGAATAGATATAAATTCCTAGAGATCGAAATGAAAAAAACATTAAAATATAAACAAATAATTAAGATAACCGGAGAGTTAAACGATGCTCTCGAAAGATCGAAAAACGGTTAAGCAACAGTACATGGAGGCATCCCAATTGAGTTGATAAAGTACATACAAAATATATAAGATGTTGGTTCAACTATTTTACACACTGCTTAACCCTCTACCGCATACGAAACCATTTATGGTTTCAAAATTTCAAAGTGTTGTAGTATGCATAATATCCACCACCCATCGAAAATTCTGACTACATCATAGCTAGTACTCATTTTACTATACATTTGTATGTTTGGTTGTCTACCAGTCAAGAGAAAGATCGTTATAACCTCATTCGTTTATACACGTGTAGTGAGTGAACGGTATCTTATGTATGACACCAGTTTGAAGCAATATTTTTTATCGAAATAGTGAATTTATTTGTTGGAAAAAATTTTTTGGAGAAAGTAAGTATTATTTTTTATTATATAAATATTTTTCTACATCGAATTTCACATTATTATCTAGCTTTATGATGTCATTTATTATCAAACATATATGGTTTCGTATGCATTCCGTCTAAATTGGTATAAATCCGTAAAATCCATAGATGGTTTCGAATGCATTCAATGTTATTTTAGTTATACCGTTTTTAGAAAAATTATCATTTGATTTTTGTTTTCAGAATGGATCCTGGGAAGTTTTATGGCTCGTCTAAATACGTTAACTGTATTCCTGGTGATGGAGAACTAAGTGAAGACGATGTAGGATTAGATTCAGATAATGAGTATATTCCTTTGAATGGAGAACTAAGTGAAGACAAATTAGGTTCAGATTCCGATAATGAATATATTTCTCGATGTCGTCAGTCCCAGTCTGATGATAGTGACAACAATGAACAAAGGAATTTGGATGAAAATATACCTACTTGCTCTGGTATAAATAGAATTGTCAACAAAAAAAAGAAACCTGAAAAATTTTATGGGAGTCAGGCCATTTGAAGCATTTTAATAAAAGTGATTATGCATTTAAAGGCGTTGTAGATCTACCAGAATGTATCCTTGAGTTAGAAACTCCTGCAGATTTTTTCTTGTTTTTGTTTCCAAAAGAATTAATATCCATGATTGTTGAACAATCAAACATAAAAGCTCTGCAGGATAACATAAACAAACCTGCCAATATTACCGAAAACGAAATGGAGCAATTCATAGGAACTGTAATATTTATGTCATTGGTGAAATTACCATCATCGAGACTTTACTGGAATGCAACTCTAGGTCAACCACAAGTATTTGAATCTATGACCTGCAATAGATGGGAAATTATAAAGAAACACCTTCATTTTAGTGATAATAGTAACTCCGTTCCCGTTGGTAATCCAGGCCATGATAAATTGTTCAAAATTCGACCTCTATTAGACAAGATTAAACAACGGCTTTTACTGGTTCCCAAGGAGGAACATCTAGCTGTTGACGAACAAATTATCCCTACGAAATGCCGCCACCACCTCAAACAATATAATCCGGCAAAACCTCACAAGTGGGGATACAAAAATCAAGTACTTAGTGGTGTATCAGGTTTTAGTTATGACTTTGATATTTTTGCTGGTGAACAAAGCAATACTTTTCCAAATGGAGCGCCTGATTTAGGAGTCAGTGGAAATGTTGTCACTAGACTGACAGAGACAGTGCCGAAGAACGTTAATCATAAAATATTTTTCGATAACTGGTTTAATAGTCCAAAATTACAGATTTATCTTACAAAAAATGGATTGTTACCTTTAGGTACGGTTCGATTAAACCGTGTTTCAAATTCAGGAATCCCATCCGAAAAAGAACTAAAGAAAAAAGAACGTGGTTTCATTGTAGAAAAAGTTGCCCTTGTTGAAGACGTAAACATAAGTCTAATAACTTGATTCGATAATAAGCCAGTAAATATGTTATCAACTTACGTTGGTAGTGAACCTAGAACCACAAAACGTAGGTACTTCCGAAAAGAAAAAACGTACAAAGAGATTCCATGCCCTCAAGCTGTTGAAGTTTATAATCAGCTGATGGGAGGAGTGGACTTATTAGACTCGATGCTGGGGCTTTACAGAATCCATCTAAGATCAAGAAAATGGTATAAACGAATTTTTTTTCATATGTTGGATCTATGTGTTGTAAACGCATGGATAGTCTGGCGTAGAAAAAATGAACAAAATTGCTATATGCCATTATTTGACTTCAAACAAGCCGTTTCTGAACATTTATGTAAATTTGGGAAGTCACTACCAAGAAAGAGAGGTCGTCCATTAGGACAAAATGTGACTCCAACATCTAGTCATCAAGGAACTCCAACGTCTAGTCGTCAAGGAACTCCACCTGTCTTAACCAATGGAACAAACCCAACACCAACAAAAAGAACAAGAAAAACTCCTGCAAGACATCAAGAGATACCGTTAAATTCTGTGCGTACGGACAACATTGGACATATGCCAGAATGGCAAAAATATCGCCAACAGTGTCAAATATGTACAAAAAAAACTTACACCAAATGTATAAAGTGTAAAGTATTTTTATGTTATAATGAAAAAAGGAATTGTCTATCACAATTTCATAACTAACGTATTTTTGTATGTTAACTTTTTATTAAAATATGTTCTTATAATGCATGTGAAACCACATATGGATTTTCAAAAAATCTACCAGTTTGTAGTTATTGCATATGAAACCATATCTGGGTTTGCAAAAAAACTTCTATATATAGGCCTAAACAGTTATTTTAAATGTACTTATGCCTTTTATATACCTTAATAAAAATCACAATACATAAAAATATTTTGTATTTCATGTTTGCAATAATTCATGCAGTAGAGGGTTTTAAACGAATAAAATATCCCTGATGATTGAAATATTAAATACATCAGCTTAATATTGAAGAAAGGGGATAAACGCGACTGCTCTAATTATAGGAATAACTGTTATTAGCTTAATATAGAGGTTGTGCGGTCAAAGAATAAAAGAAAGAATAGAATCAGAATACGAAGACATAGACATAGAAGAACAAAATGGATCTCGTGCAGGAAGATCGTGCACTGATGGTATATTTTTTCTGCAGCAGGTAATCGAAAAACGGAAGGACAAGGAATCTAACTACCCACCTATTGTTTGTAGGTCTAGAAAAGGCATACGATACGGTACCTTTAAAAAAACATTGACGAAAGTAGGTCTCACTGAGAGAATGTGGATGCTATCGAAAATATATACAAAAATGCAAGAAGTGTCGTTTAAGAAGGAGACTTTACTTTAAATGTGAACTATTTCCAATACCGAAGAGGCTTAAACAAGTATGTTGTATATCTCCGACCTTATTTAAAATACATAGGTATTTAATTATCTCTGGAGCAGTGGAGGAAACAAGTGTCCCGAATGGAAATAGACATAGGCGTTGGTAAATGTCTAACAACTTTGTTTCTTATAGGTGATCATTGCATTGGTAAAAAATATGAAAAATGGGCATGAATATGACTATGTCATTGACAGAGTATCTTAAAATAGTAGATGATGAAGAAGATCCATGGTTAGAAATTAGAAACTAAAAACATCCCATGAATATAAATATCTCGAATCTATAATATCTAAATCAGGCACTACAACGAAAACAGATAGCAGCAGGAAAAAAAAGCGCTAAACATTCTAAATTCTCTAATATGGTCTAAAGATATTAGACAAGAAACGAAATTAATATTCTATCGAATCTTGGTAGAGCCTAATATGACTTATGAGGCAGAAGTTTGGTAGTTTACGAAAAAAGATAGAAAAAGAATCAAAGTAGTGGAAATAGATTTTCTAAGGTGAGCGTCTAGTGTATCAAAAAAAATCATGAATGAATATATTGGAAGGAGGACAAATACTGTATATTCCAGTGTAGACAGAATTGCGGGACAACTAGTATGGTATAGTCACGTGAAGCGAATGAATGAAGATAGATGGCCAAAGACAGCTTTAAATTACATACAATAAGACAGAAAAAGGGGAAGGCCTTTAGTTGCCTGGACAGAAAATGTACTGATGTACTGCACATGTCAAATTAAAATCGAAGCTGGTATGTAAAGAAAGAGTAAATAACATATTTTTAACATAAAAATTATCTTCACGGTATAAAAAACTAAATAGTAACCTATTTTTTACTGTTTATTCAAGAGGTAAAAATATACAAAAGAGTATTTCAAAAACAAACACATATGGACAGATATCTGTACGCAGATTCACATCAGCATCCCACACAATTACATTAGGTCATTAAAAGCCTAAATACAGGATCTAAAATACTGACATACGAAGAACATTAAAAACTGAAAAGATTTTTAATGTAAAAACAGTATTAAGAAACAATGT